GCACAGAAAAAAAAACAAGGTATGTTACTACACATCCGCTCAGGCAGTGGCAGAGAATTTGTGATTAGAAGCGAGGGGAAACTTAGTTCTCCCCCACCGTGCCTCTCCAGGAACAGTAAAGAGCCTAGAAGAGATAGAGATTGTTATAAGAACATAACGGCTTGTTTTAGGAAACATCAGGTTAACAGTTGTGTAAAGAGAGATCAATGCCCAAAATTTAAGTGACTCTGAGCAGGGAAAGAAGAGTGAGCTTATCAGAGGCATGATTTTTTTTCCTCTGCAGAGGCATAGTTTAAAGGTTTCCTTTTTAACGTAGGAAAAGTTTTATTGAAAGGGATTGTGTGTAGTGTGTAATTTGTCACCCACAGTCTTAGTCTTTTGGGGAAACTTTCTTGGTCCTGAGGTGAAGCTTGCTGGGTTGTACAGCTGTAAGAGAGAAATTTCATGAATAAATTAGTTTGCAAAGACCAAGGCAAGAAGGGGCCACTGATGAAAATGGATTGTGAAGCCTGTAGCCCAGAAAGGATATGGTTAAGATCTGTTAAGAAAAGGAAAACTAGAAGTTAAGTAAAACCTAGAAAAAGTGTTAGGATTCTGAAGAGTTGCTAAAGAAAGGAAAAAAGAAAGCTCTAATAAAGAGTCTGCAGAGCCCTAAAAGACCAAGTAATCTGACAGTCCAGAGAAGGGGCACAAAGAAAAATCACTGTTAGAGCTGCCAGAGCCAGAAGCCTGCAACCTCAACTGACCCAAGTGGAGGCCAAGGAGTCCAGAAGTCAGAGGCTGTGCCCAAAAGAAGTAAAGAAGACCACAAGCAAAGCCAGCCACAGTATAAGAAGAATAAACTAACCAAGAGGGGTAGACCCTCCCTTTTTGTCCTTGTGTTTTACAGGACAGAACCACCACTGAAGCATCATGAAGTTTGCTGGATACAAGAAAGAAATCAAGCTTAACTGTGTTGTGTGTAATAACTTGTATGGTTAAGGGCTTGCAAGCCAAGCCCTATGAGGAGAGACTAGGGCACCTGGACCTCTTCAGCCTCCGCAACATAAGGTTGAGAGGTAACCTTGTGGCTGCCTATAAGTTCATCATGGGGGCACAAAAGGGAATTGGTGAGGCTTTACTCACCAAGGCGCCCCTGGGGGTTACAAGAAATAATGGCCATAAGCTAGCAGAGAGCAGATTTAGACTGGACATTAGGAAGAACTTCTTCACAGTGGCCAAAGTCTGGAATGGGCTCCCAAGGGAGGTGGTGCTCTCCCCTACCCTGGGGGTCTTCAAGAGGAGGTTAGATAGGCATCTAGCTGGGGTCATCTGAACCCTACGCAGGGGGTTGGACTCGATGATCTATTGAGGTCCCTTCCGACCCTAACATCTATGAATAAACTGTGTTTTACTGTCTGTAAAATGCTATTACTACAGATGATTGTGATGTCAACTATGCTGGACTATGAAATGTAAAGCAGAACTTCTTGAAAAGCTATGAAATACCTGAAGAGTAGCTACAAAAATGATACATCATGCAAAGCATCACCTCCATGACCTCACAGAGTTCAGCCATGCCAAAGATCAAGAAGGCTACTGAATTATTTGTTTTATTGTCATCCTTTGTTTCCTTTTCAAACCCCTTGTTTTTGTTTTGTTTGTTTTAAAATTAATATATTTTAGTTTATATAATAGAAATAGTAATTTAATGTAGTTTTATTAATTCCCCAAATTTGTGCAAAAATTAGGAACACGAAGTAAAGTGATAGAATCCTAAGAAAGACCAGGGCCCTCCTGTAAAGACAGCATACCTAGTTTCCACAGCAAGTTAAAAAAGTCCTAACCCTTAACATTTATCCAAAGTTTTACAAGATGAAAAGGCACTAGTAGTGCTATAATAACACCAAGCATCCAGGTAATATTCAGCTGCATATTCACGCCAATAAAAAGAAGGAAATCTCTTTATGGTACCATCGTCCCTGTTCCTGGCTCAGTCCCAGGCTGGAAAGTGAGAAGCCTAAGCACTCTCACTAGCTACCAACAATGGGCAAAAGGTCAGTCTTCTGTCCAAGTAACACAAAAACACCATCTACCTTGCCAGGCCCAATGGGTGTATTGTGCGGAGAGAGTGATGACCTCTGGAGAATCAGCTGGGTTTCTCTTTTGCTGCCTATACTAATTCTGTGAGGGAGTGTTAGAGTGACTATATTTGGACCTTGGGGAGCACTGGATTTGCAGCTGAATACAAGGCTTTACTCTATGTCTCAGCGAAGTTGCTAACCACAAGGCAAAATGATACATTAAAAATAACATTGCAAACGCTTAGGCAAGCAGTTTTCTAACAAGGTCGTAGTGTTGAAGAGTATAGAGCCCATTGTGTAAGAACAAGATGCAGCCCACCAGATATTGTCAGGAGACAAAGCAGAAGCAAGACCTTGGAGATGAAGGAATCAGCAAGAAACCAGAAAAGAACCAGCAAGTGACTGGAGGAAGCTAGGGTCAAAGTCTTGAGCATACACTCTTAGCCACTCATCGTTATGGGCCCATGGGCCGGATGAGAACCCGGGTTCTAAATAATTTTAGGATTCTCTCCCCCAAAACCTGTCAGTCCTTTAGCTAAATTTAAATTTAATCTTTAACCTGAAATTATCTTTTCCATAATACATTTGTCTTCCTCTATTTAAATCAAGATATTGATTTAAAACAAAGAAAGGATTGTGTGTTATATGCATTTAATAAGCTAATAATGTACCATTAAATCACTTCCTTAAGCCTTAAAGCAAGTGAGAAATGAAGTGCCTACCTTTGAGCAGATTTTCATGATATTGAGAGCATGAGTGGGAGCACAAGCTCATGCTCAAATGAAAATAGACAATATTGTGCAATACTACTTCCACCTGGTATGCAAACAGCAAAGTTCTGCACCAATAATTCTTAGAACCTTAAATCATCTGGACTGCTCCACTTTCAAAATTTATGTTAGATTACTTATCATTAGACTTATTTAAAAAGTTGGAGGGGTACTAATCAAAGTTTCAAACATAAGTTACAGAAACAAAATTTGATCATTCATAGTTCATTAACTTCCCTCACTCACTACAATGCTCTAAAATGGTTTCAATTACATTAAAAAAAATGAGAGTATAACAGTAAAGTTTGGTGGTAGAGAACAAGCAGAAGGATTGTAACCATTTTATAATTCATTTGTAGGTGGGTATGGCAATACTAAGTCCTTGAGCTCAGTTTACAAAAGAACACTGACTGGAGATGAAGACTTAAAAGCTTCACTTAAAATTGAGGAAGTATCTAAAAATAAAGTGCAGTAGTGTGGTTATTTCTCAAAAAAGATCCAAGTAACAACAATAATTATGCAAGTTCCTGCAGAAGGTGCCATTCATATTGTTCCAGGGGGTCTTTGATATAAGTGTGTATTGGGCAGAATTTTACATGGTTGCAAGGGACGCATCCTATTGATGAGCCAGGGAGGTGGGGCAGCAAATCAACTAATTGTGACTACAACTTGATATTGTACCTAGCAGTTTGGAAAAAAAAACCTCACTTGATGTTATAAGACTGTTAAAAGTTAATTATCTTAAACACATTAATTGTTTCTGCAGTTAGCATTAAGAGATATGGTCTTCTCTAGGTCAGAAAGCACAACACCATATTCATACCAATTCAATATAGATTGATAAGAATATTTATATTTCTAGGTAATTAATTATACAGTAAATTTAATGCAGATGAAAGATGCTAGATTTACAGCATCAGACTTCGTTCTTTTTTCAGCTAGAGGATACTTACATTATAGACAGTGGTAGCAAAGCTTCTCAGTGACCTCCCAGTTTACTTATGCCCTGAACTATCCTTTTCTTCATGACTATTATATCATAGACCTTGATAAACCTGTCAGTTCTGATCATATAGCATGTTTTGTAAAGAGTACACATGCCCACCAAGAACTGAAGGTATGATCAGCTGTAATGTGTGTTGTGTTCCAAGTGGCTGTAAAAAATGAAGGTAGAGATGTACATCACTGAAACAGAAGGTCTCCTTTTGAGGTGCTTTAAAAGTGACCCTTGAAAAAACAACAACTTTGAAGATACCTTGCATGGAGACATCAGCAAAGAAGCAGCAATGCTAGGATACTAGTAGAGGTACTGGAGCAAATCTGTGGCACAGGTCCTGACCAGGGGAACCAGCTACTAGCCCCTCTCATCCCCCAACACACAGGGAGATTGTGAACAGACAGAAAAGAATCCCACTTTATGGGAAAGTTCCCTATTAAAATGCAACTCAAGAGTGGCCCCAAATATTGAATCCTGGGCTAAGCTGCAGGGGGGAATGGGAGAGGGGAGGGCAAGACTTGAGAGTTACTGAATACACAAACAGAGCAATAATGCCCAAACATCCAGCCAAAAAATTATATTACCAAGTTTTTGAAGCCTTGTTAAAAAGGCAGCAGAAAGGAGAGAATCTGACACAAAGTTAATCACAAGGCATTCAGCTTTCGTAAGAAGTATGCTGTCCTTTCCCTTTCTTCTAGCCGATTTAATCATGATAATGCTTTAATCATGTTTATGTCCAAATAAATAGGATTACAATATCAGTCAAACACTGAAGGAGCCAATGTTTTACAAATGCACTTTCTGCTTCAGATTTCCACAGAATGTATTAATGAGAGCTGTTTGCCCTAACAGATGCATTTAGCTTATGAATATGTGAGAGAAGCATGGAGGGAACCCATCCTAAATCAGGCCTACAATTTTTAATTCTACACATTACCCATAAACGCAGTCATAGGACAAATTTTTTTTTTTTTTTTTGAGGTGAGGCAGGGGGAGAGAGGGGAATGTTCAGCTTGGATGAAGTAATGCAATAAACTGCAATGAAACGTACTTGCGTCTATCAGTGAAGAAGTTGGGTTTATCAGCTTGCACAATGACCATGTCAAAGAGGTCCCGCCAATTCTTGCCAACCATGTGTTTCATTCCTTTATCTCTGAAGAGCAAGTGAAAAAAGTCAATAGGTAAGCAATTCTTTCCAATACTTATCTGTTTCCCCCATACCTTCCTTTGAGTAAAATCCATACAGATTTTTTAGTTTGGCTTAAAATAAAAATTTACTTGTTCAGTCTTGAAGCACAGAGACTCCATAAGCCTTTGATTCCATCTTAATGCATGTAAGAGCTGCACAATGATTTCATATTTATAGTAAGTGATCACTATCTTCTGCTATTGCCACCAAGGGATTCTCTCTCCTCTACCAGCAAAGCTCAGACCTCAACCCTATGCCTTCAGGTAACAGATCAAGCATGCCAGTTCAGAGGTGTTGCTGTCAGAATCAACAGTCTCTCCCCCCCTCCACAGCTTGTCTCTCACCCATTGACTCCTCAATCTACATTTTCACTGACTACCTGTCTTGTATGCATACCAGCCCAGCCTCTGGCTTCTTTACTTTTCATTCCATCCAGGAAGAGTGCACACCAACTGCAGAAACTCCCTTACCCTGACGAAGGGTTTTTGAACCTGAAAGCTTGCTTAATACTTGTTTTCCAACTATTTAAGTTGGTCTAATAAAAGATATCAGATTCACCCAAAGAAACTCATCTACCCACGGAAACATGCAACTTACTGCATTCAAACTCTCAGAGAGGGTCTTTCAATGAGGTTTGCTATATAAAACATGTAGCTGTAGCCTATCAATTTACAGTGCATGAATCGATTATATACTCACACAAAGCTAAACGGGCTGTTCGTGATGAGGAAAAGCTTCTTGTTATGATTAACCAGTCGGTTTAGTACGGCATAAGTTTCATCTCCATGGAGAATGTACTTTTCTGTATCAAAAACCACAAAATTGTATTATTATTATTATTATTAAAACCAGCTTTCAAGAATCTCAGAACTTTTCCAAAAATAATTTTTAAGAAGGTCAGATATGATATTGTTCATAATTTTCAAAGGAATACAGAAGTCTTTATGCTTGGACACAGTGTCACAATCTTCCAGTAAGGTAAGACACAGAGAGCTGCACTAGCAACAAAATAAGAACTTTGAAATGGTTAAAATGCAGAAAGAGATCACAGCATGCCAAGAGGTAAAAACAGACCATTATTACCTCATAGCTTATATGAATCTACAGTGAAAAGATATAGTCTTTAAAAGCTACTGCTTTCCTTTATGGTATGTTTTACCTTCAACTACTGGTGTTCTTCACTCACAACAAAGAAAAAAAATACAGAAGAATGAAGCAACTACTCTTTTGGTCAGTACCAAAATTTCTACTCCTTGGATAGCTGTTAGCAGCAATTCAGTCTGCCGATACCACTGTGAAGTTAATGATGTAGTTACACAGATATTTTATTGAATTCTTACACTTGGAATAAAGAAAATGTGCACACAAAAATCAAGATCAGATTCAGGAAAATGTTACTGACCCATGTCCTTCTCAATCCACTGGTACATCATTCCTTTTACATGAACATCTTTAATGGCATCCTGAAAAAAGAGAAAGATCAAAAAGCTTCAGATCTAAAACTGGCATCAGCATGACTACTGCCTATTTTCGCCAAGAAGGATCCGGCAGAATTACACATGGGTTATTTGCTGCAGGGATACAGAGAGAAACAGAGAAAGCCAAGGATATTTTGAATGGGGATTCACTATTATCATCACCACAAGCACCAGAATAAAATTTATGAATTTGGGTGTGATTGTGAAAGGAAAGTCAGCTATGTTCCATCTGGCTTCAAGTCAGCTATGTTCCACCTATGGGAATAAAGATAAAACTAATCTGCATTTTTTGTTTCTTTAAAAAAAACTGTTAGAAACAGAACAGATTTATATCAAAATCAATATTGCACCAATACTCAGGTGGCCCAAAATAGGACAGCCTGGGTTTGATTTATACATAGAGCCTGGGATCACTTTGTAAATGCAAGGGGGGGGGGCGGTGGGGTCGTCGTCATCCTTAAATAAGAGTGGCTCCAAGAGCCCAGAGTACCCAAAACATCTTGCAGCATCTTGTGTATTAGCATCCCCATGCTTTAAAACTGCAGTGGTGGCACTTTATCTAAAGCTTATTCGATAAGCTTTAGTTAAAGTGCCCCTGCTACCATTCTGAAGCGATGCACAAGACATGGATGTTGGCTGGAACGCGGTAAGTACCACACTACAGCAGACTTGATTACATCAACCTCCATTAAATCAAGTCTGCTCCAACACACTGCAATTACAGTGCATTGGAGCAGCCTCCTGGCTCCTGTATAGGCACCAAAGATGAAAGAACAGTCTTCTGCCATGCAGCACTGCTGGGCCTTAGAAAAGGAAGCCAGATGGAATGCATATTTGATTATCTGTTCTGACCAGAACTTTGCCAAGACTTAGGGGACTTACAAGGAAAGCAATTTTCTAAAGAGTGCTCTCCACTGGATCTACACACATGGAACTTTGAGAGGAAGTAATACAAAGAAAGAGACACCATCCCACTATTTTGACATCTCTACCCAAGAATGCAAATAACCCCCACTGAACAAGATGCACTTAAGACACTTAATTCATGAGCATTTATAGATGGCTTTAAGCTGGCTAAAAAGGTACAAAACTACAATAGCACATGAAAACAGGTATTTTTGAGGGTCTGGGTGAGAAGATTAAAAATACCTTAAATTTTGCAGGTTATATAGAAGTTGACTTTCCCAAAAAACTTAGACAAACTAAAGTTTGCAAGTCCTCAGATGCAAGGTTTACTCTTTGTTTTTAATAGTCGATACATAAAGGCAATTGTTCACATAGTACCATTTCTACCCTGACAATGGAACTAAGTGGCAAATTAAAGGACATTTATTTGCCAAGTGGAGTACTTACAGTAAGGGAACAGAATGCTGGGCAATATTTGGTTGTGAACTCCTTAGCCCAATGCCAAAATAAATTTTAAAATAATAAAAAACCTAGCTGTACTGTAACTAAAGCCCAAGGAGAGCCATCTGGCATTTAAAAAAGCTCGCAGATGGATGACAGGGCTGATAAGTGCCAAGAAACCTAATCAAATCCAAGGCAGAAAAACAAGCTGTTCACATGCTTCAGTTATTGGGGCACTCAGATAAGATATGAACTTTAGACCAGTACTTTGTATAAACAGCTGAGAAGTTTCCTTAGAATCACTACAAATGCTTAGCATGCCAACAGTGACCATTTCTTGCTGACTCACTAATGAGTTACAAAAAGTTTTGTCACTTTAACTTCTAGAAATACCCAATAACTCTCTGCAAGGAAGATTCCACATTGAGGGAATGCAGATGTTTTCCAGGGCATCTCCAATTCATCTGCATCACTATTGTGAGAATGCAGAATTCTGAGAAATAGTGATGGCATATTTCAGACCGGGAAGAGTACCATACTTGTTTCTACAAAAAAGAGTCCTCCTTTGCTGAATACTTTACAGGATGCATCAGATTCTTTGCCTTTAAAACATTAATCTCAGATATTAGGGACACAAAAGGTAGGCTCTTACAGAAAAATCTATTTAAATCATCAAGTCTCAGAGCAAGAGATCACCTCTCCCAATCAAAGACCATAGAGCAAGACAATGCAACAGCCCAGATTAATTTTTTTCTGCACCATTCTGCTTCTGCACTACACTGAGTAGCTACTAGATTATACCAATAGCCATTTTCTAAGTGCTCATCTAGAATTTAGACTACAGCCATTCAGAACTATAGGGTGGATCCATCCATGGTTTAGAAGGAATCACTGGAAGATGCCCTAAAACTCACTCAAAAAAGAAATTAAAGGGTTGGGACGTATGTATCATAACTCCAGAAATTAAACATTTCAGCCTTAGATTGACATACAGCCCCCTGCCACAAAACCTTGCTGGACTCCTTCAAAACTGCCAGGGCTGCAGGCACAGAAGGATTAAAAAAGGAAGCAAAGTCAACTGCCAGCAAGTACTTTGTAGCCTTTGTTTCCCCAGAGGCTGCAGAATCCTGAGACTCCTAATTAATGCCTTTTACCATTTACAGCAGGGGTTCTCAGTTTTTATGCTGTGGCACGGCAAATCACAGCCTAGAGGTGGCCGCAGCCTGGCAAACCACGGCCCAGCAGTCAGCCTACTGCGGCCGGAATTTCCGGCTGGCAGACAGGTAAGAATACCGGAATGCAAACCCTGTGCTGCTGTGGGCCCCTCTCATTTAACAAACTGTGCTTTAGGATGTTTAAAATAACCAAAGATAAAGCACTGGCGCCTTCTGCCCATCATCTCTCCTCTCCCCTACCCCCACCCCAAATAGCAAGGGGGAGAGGATGAGGGGGGAACTGTCCTCCATATTTTAATCACATAACCATTAAAATCATATCAGGTCAAAGAAATCTAGGTGAGGCTTAAGTTGGAATTAAAAAAAACAACCAGAAAACAAAAAACTTATGCTTTCTCCTTTAGAAAATTAGAATATCCTACCTACTGATAATTTTGAATAATATCAGTGTGGTACAAAATTTTAACTGAACCTAGGAATTTGACCACACCAATAAACAGTTCTATAATCCCATCTGGAGAGTTGATAGAGATCCTGGCTATATTTGGTTGGCATTGCTAGATCACTATAAAATTGTTAAACTTCTTAAAAACTCCTTCTTAGAGTTAGCTTTACCACACTGCTTTACAAAAAAAAGATCAGACAAACAATGATCAGCAACAGTAAACTGAGTCTTCTTGAAGAAAGCTACAAGTAAGCTATTAGCCATTAATTCTCTAGAATGTTTTTATTTAATAAATAGTGTGTTTAAATATAGTTGAAAAAAAATAAAGGGTAAAAATGAAATGTCCCTAAAACAGTGCAGAATTTGGATAATGTTCTTCATTAAATAATTAAATTATTTGGTCGCACGTGGAGCTGCAGCTAAAATGACCTCACAGGACTATCAAACAGAACTAACAAAATGTTGTGTCCCAGGCAAAACCCTGCTAGAAAGCAGGGGTGAGGAGTAGAGGTAGATGGTGAAGTGGTAAAGATGGTCAGGGTGGTTTGTTCTACCTGCCAGAAACTCAAAAGATCCCAGCTGCTGCTCCAGTATCATTGTCTGTCTGCTCTTGCCACAGCACAAAGATGCTCCACCCTAGGAAAGATTCCTTGCAGGGCAGGGCCACCATTCTGGCTCCCCCAGTAAGTTGGTGTCCAGGGCTGGTGCCTTGTTCACTCACCCTTATTTATGCTACTTCTACCAAGTAGAGATGTTTAATGGTGACTTAGTAACATATGAATAGATCTCAAAAGCTATAAAAATATAGTAGTGGATGCTTCCTAATTTTGCTGCAAGCAGGAATTCATGATATTTCTCAGAATCAACAGTAGCTTATATTTGGATAGTAAAACCTCACAAAACAATAAATGGAATAACTAATTTTCAACAACATCATATGTAGTATTTCATCCTTTTTTGATAATTTATACTCACAGATATATCCTTGTAAAGATGAATCTGGTCAAACTCAATGCCATGAGCTAGGAAATAATCAATAACAGAAGATAACAGTGTCATTTCAGGAAGAGAGAAGATGTCCATGAATTGTTTCAATGAAGGACCCTAGTCAAAAGGAAGAGAATACATAAGAAGATACTAAGAAATTCAGAAAGATAATTTAGGTCATTATGAAAAAGAGTTGCACCTTACAGCCATGTCACTTTTCATGGGTTTCCAATCACACTTCCTATCTATATAGAGCTGTTTTGTTTTCAGAAGACAGCACAGGAGAAAGCCCAGCAGCTATAGGAAGCATCAGCAGCTGATGGCCCTCTGCCCTAAAAATGCACAGGCACTTAAGTTTTAAAAAGTACTTGATAAAATAGATTTATTGGTTATTACTGTCATTAAATAAAAGCACTTTTACAAAAGACAAGGAGAATTAACATCATAATCTGAGACTTCAACAAAATACGATACTCTTAATTTCCAGTAAAGTCACTATTTTACATTGCACTGAGATAAAGCTATTGCACTACAGAAGAGGCTGCAACAATCTCTGCAGGTTGCATACATCTAGCTCACAAGAAAGTCAAGTCTTTGCCAAATGTTTATGTGCTTCAAGACCCTTGGATGCAAAGTACTGAGACAAATATGCTCACTTAATTAAATTCCTGATGAGGTTTCACTTGGTATTTAAATCAGGGAAGTACCACAATTGTTATAGTTTAACTACCATATTTACTCAAATCCAAGATAAGGGTTTCCCCCTCCACTATTCAACATGGGCAGGGGAGGGGGGAATCTCACCTTAGATGCAAGTATTGACTAGGGGCAGACAGCTGTTCTGGCTCTGACCCTGGCCTGGAGCTGTATCTGCTGCCTTCCCCAGACCAGGGCCAAAGCTATTGCTGCTACTGCTGCCTGGTTGAACCCAGGGTGGCTCAAGTGGCTCATATGGGGAGGGAAGCATGGGAAAAACTACAAGGTGTGTGGCCCAAGGGGAGCACAGGAGAGACTATGTAGTGGCTCCAACTCCAGCTCCAGCCTTGACCAGGGCCGGAGCCACTGCTGTTGCCTGCCCCGGGCCAGGGCCAGTTATAAGTGCTGCTGCTGTCAGACCACAGCTGGGCCTAGAGCCAGAGGTGCAGCACAAGGTGAACAGCAGGCAGGGAGCGGACTGGGGGCCAAAGGGCCAGCAGAGGCAAGGTGTGGAAGGGGCAGGAGACAGGTGTTAGGCCACCTGCCACTGCTTTCCCTGCCACTTGTCCACCTGCCATTACTTTCCCAATCACAGTGGTAGAAAGGAAAAAATTAAGACAACCTTCCAGCAATTAGATTCTATGCATGGAAAATTATAACAAAATTGATAATTTTCTATGTACAGAATCTAAGTACTGGGGGACTGCCTTAAATTCAAAGTCATCTTGGATTTAGGTAAATACAGTAAGTATGTTCAAATCCTAACCATAGGTAGAAAACTCTTGCCAAACAGCCAATCATACTAAAAGGGAAAGTAGCAAAACCAACAAGAACAGCTTCATAACTACTTAAAACTTCCTTGTTATTTCATTTCCATTACTTATGCACTCACTCAATTCCAACTTTTGCTTAAAGTAAATTAATAAAAGTTAGTAAACAAGCTATTGGCCAACCCTGGCAACATTTTGATGATGGTATCTGAGGAGTAGCATCTGCTCAGAAGGTTAGTTTTAAACCACGAAGTCTAGTTTAATACAGTATGTCAGTTCTACAAATAGAGCTACCCCTATCAAAACACCTTAAGTACCACTGCATTCCATTTATACTTTCTGCACTAACATATGGAAAAGAACTTGCCAAATTCCTCTGGAGAGCTAAAGCTTGAGTCAGTTTGTTTTTCATTTGTCTACTGCAGTGGTTCTCAACCTTTTTAGACTCAAAATACCCCTTGGTAAGTACCAGCTCTTAGCTTTCATTCTTTTTTGACTATGGAAAAAAACAGCAATCTTCTGCTGCAAAGAACACAGAAAGACCACAACAGTTCATAACGTTTTTGACAGTATGGATTCCTATTTGAAGTCTCTGGGTTTATCTTACAAATCACGTGTTAGTATTTGCGAATCTAATAGTGCTAACATTGTATGGCACCCTTAAAGGATTCTCACAGCACCTAAGGGTGCCATGGCAGCCTAGCTGAGAATTGCTGGTCTATGGTTGTGGAAACAGTTAATGAACCTTAATGATAGAAAGGCAGTTGGGGAAATGCTTAGAACTAAAGAATCTATTTGTCAAAGAAGTCTGCATACTTGCTGCAAGGCATAATACCTCTTTGGAGCCATAAACAAATCCCTGGCAAGTAGGAATATATATGTTCAGCATAATCTAGGATTTTGGTCGTCTCCAATTAAACACGTGTAGAATATGAACAATTCTTTTGTTAATCATTTAAATTCTGTTTTCCAGTTGCCCCTTATTAAATTGTAACCGAATAAATCATTCTGAAGATGTCACAGAAGATGAACACGTTAAACGCATTACATTCTCAAGAGACCAATTTAGCTTTGAACAATACAGCAGAGACAAATTGATGAATTTCAAGTTAAGTATACCATGAGGAGAGATCTGCTGCTTCTTTGGGTCCTGTATTCTAGTAAAAAATCCTATGCCTGACATACTATTGTGTTTGGACCAAGAGTCTGGAAGAGAATTAGGAAAAAAAATCTATTTATCTGGAGGATAAATCTGTTGGTGTCATTGACAATTTTTGCTACTTGGGTTCTACAATCAGCAGGA